GGGGCCAAGACCCCCAGGTTAAAAACCACTGCCTTAGATCATCCATTATTTACCTCCCTGCAAATATGCTTTCTCTCAATGAGCTTTTCTCCAAGACAGAAAGTTTTAATATCCGAGTTAAATTCTGTGCAAGTGAACTGAAGATATTTCAATTGAGTTAGTGAAATACACAAAGTATGAAAGGATGAAAAGGGTTCTGGAAAGTGTCAACCACTCACATCACACCAATAGTCAGATGAAGAAATCCTACCAACAAATTATGGGAGCAGATACCACGTGTACCTGATGCTGCATAGGCAAACAAGAAAGACTGAAAGATGTCAGTCATATACTCTTGACACATGTGAGAGGACACAAAACACCACAAAGTGTCACTATGGTTCAGCAACAGAGCAAAACAGTCTTCCCAAAACTCAGATGAGGAAGTCATTTCTGTTCTGGAGAAAGAAGAAACAATTGTGCTACACCCCCACCCCGCTCGCATGGGAAAAAAGCAAAAGTAAAAACAAGCAAACAAAGAAGGAAACCAAACTATTTGGCTAGGGCACTAAATATCAAGATTAAGTAAACAATGGCAAAATAATGTTGTATGCCCTCTTGACTGTGCTAGTTATCAAGGCTCTTGATAAGAATTTATAACTTGAAAGTGAACTGAGATTTCTAGAAATCAGGAATGTCTCCATAGGATGAAAAGTAGGTCAGTGATCAAGAGGAAGAAGATCATGTAGAAACAAGGTCTTCAAAGTCATGTATTTTATAGGTGTTCTTTGACACTGAAATCAAAGACAATTGAGAGCCTTATGCGCCATTGATGTAGGCAATAGATACCAATGGGAATGGTATCTATTCTCAATCCAAAACTTGAATGGTGATTCTCTAAGGAAGTCAGAACTGATCCCATTTATACTTTAGGCACATGGAATTTGATTGGTTTTTCTCTTCAAGAGCTCAACATTGCTGCGTCCATGGAGATGGCTCTGAACATAAGTGCTTGTGACACAAACATGACCTACATTTGGTCACTAGCACAAAGACAGGAGAGTTGGTGCCCACCTGTAATCTCTAAACTGTGGGAGAAATGGAAGAACAATCCATAGGGCTTACTAGCAAGCAAGTCAAGTCTAGCTGAATTTAGAAGTTTTAGGTTAAGTGAGAGACTTTGTCTCAAAAAATAAGTTAGAAAGTGACAGAACACAAGTCATGCTTACTTATAGCTCCTACATTCAAAAATGTATGTGTGAATGTACATACCTGTTAACACACACACACATATATAACCTAACATTGTCTATTTTGGGAAATGAAGTAGATGTCATCATCGCTGTCAATAAAATCTCCATCCTTCAAGTGATTGAGAAGTGTTCTATATGGTACACGTAATGATATCCATTATCTAATATTATAATATTGTGGCAGACCCAAAAATCATGTTGCATACTACTATTATATCAAAGTCCAGATGTTTATTGTCATAGGAATTAAGTCCAGATTCTAGCTGCATGACACGACATTTAATTTGAGATACAAAAGCCTAGGACAAGGACGCCAACTTTATTTGAAAATATGACTGAATGGCTGGGGATGTACTTTACTCATAAAGTAAGTAAACATAATGCCCAAGGATAAGTCACCAGTGTGTGCACAGATGCAATCCCTCACACACAGACTCAGTTATACTTTAGGAAAATGTAACTGTTTGAGAAGATTTAGAACTGTAACATTACTTCAGAATGGTTTATGTAGACATATGATTGACGTTTATACACATGTATGTCTAGGCTATGGGTACCCTTGGGTGTGGACTTTTGTTACATGTCCTAAGTTTTTATTTTTCTGTTACTAATACATCATCCTGATCAAAAGCAAAATAGGGAGAAAAGGGTTGTTTTGGCTCACACTTCCAGGTCACAGACCATCATGGAGAGAAGTCAGAGCAAGAACTAAAAACAGAATTAGAAGCCAAAACTATGGAGGACTGCTACTTGCTGCCTTACACACTAAGTCTTAGCTAGCTTCTGTATATAACTCAGGAATGCCTGCTTAGGGACTGTGCCTCACGCAATGGGCTTTGCCATTTTATATCAATAACAATCAAGACAATCCCCTACAGACATGCTCATGATCCAGTGTGATATAGGCAGTACCTCAGATGAGATTCTCTTCTCTAGGCTGTGTCAGTTTGACAGCTAATGGTAACTAGGATAAAATGCTTGAGAGTCAGAAGGACCATTTGAATCCAACAGCACAAGAACAGGGCATCCTCAGACTTTTTGAGAACCAGAGTCACCTGTCACCCTTAAGTCTCCATTCTTAGATTGAGAAGGGTCAACATGCTGTCTTCCAAAGTAGAATATTTTCATCAGTCAACTCCTTCTGAAGGTTTCCAAACTCCTTTGTAAATGTATGGAATAATCTCTTTATGAAAGCTCATAATATCATGAAATTTGATGTATATCTAATTTAATTAATGCTGAAGGAACCTGGTAAATTCTTGGAAGCTACATATGAAGCCTTTAAAATTTAAAAATTTTTCTTGAGAATATTTCATCGTCTTTGCTTACTTTCCTTCATCATAGAATCTTTATTACTGGAGACTCAGCTTCCTCTACTAACTTCTGTTATTTTTTAACCCATTTTCAAAGTCTACATTCTAAGATAATATTGATCCTGTTTATTGAATGCTTATCTCCTAGTCTTCTATCGAGATTTCCATTTTATCGGATGCTTATAGTATAACCTCCCATTGGACATAAAAGTTTATCGTTACTTTTTACATGTTATTTATAAGAAGTTTTCCTTCTAATCTTTAACACAGTTATATGAGCTCTTTTCACATTAATCATTTTTCCTATTCACCTGAATGTATAGATGAGAGATATCTCAATGAAAACTGTATATTTCTTGGAATTATCCTTAAGTTGTTATATAAACACAGATAATACAATGGCACAGATTTTCCTGGAATATATTAAATTTTGGATGTAATTCCAAAGGATAGAAATGCATCAGTTGACCATCTTTACAGCAAAATTTAAATGGTAACCTATCGGTGAAAAGCATTTATTGAGTATGTAAGTATATACAAGCATTTAGCAGAATCATTTAATTAGAGAATTTACATTTTTGTGCTTAGGTATATTTCCTTAAGTAAGTTAGATATTCGAGAGAAAAATTTTCAGATCATCTACCTAGAAACATAACCCTGGTCCTTGGGCTCTGAGAGTTAATTGGGAAAAGAGACCTGGGAGACTGAATATCCAGACTTCCAGTATGATGATCAGACATTAAAATGTGCCTGCTGTCTTCCAATCTCGGCACTGTTTGTGCTACACTCCAAGAGGATAAGCCTTTCTTCCAACTAGAGTGAACACTTGATCACCTACCTGAGCTGGTAGATAAGTGCATCTGGAAGGTCTAATGACTTCTTAATGGCATTTTTTAAATCCTGGTTTTGGTTTGGTTTCACTCTCATTCTTCAACTTATTTGTTAGATCAGTTTCTGAGCCTTTGGGATTTCCTGTGAAATAAATCTCATGTCTTCTTTCTTCTCCTTTTGTCACTAAGAATTAAGTTGTGTCAATATTATTATGTCAGGCAGACCCAACCATGCTTTAAAGGTCTCAAAATATAAGAGGTGATTTCTCACACTTTTTAAATTGTTTTCTTTTTTCCATTAGGAAAACTTTAAGTCAAAGAAAGGCTAATACAAAAATTCACTTTTCCTGATTCTTTATCCAGAAGTTTGAGCATGAAATTTTTCCATAGAGAACAAACCCCTGTGATACCCACAGAATGTCATCAGGAGATAATCCTACCCCTCATAGCTTTGAAACCTCAGATATAAAATACCTGTTAATATAGCTTTTAATATTGATATGGCTTGATTGGAAAGTTGACATGTTTGAGATGGAGTAACATTTGAATTAATAATCAAAATGTAAAACTAAAAAACACATTCTATTACATATCAGCAATGAAAACCATACCACACATAATTTTATTTACCTAAATGCCATATTTACAGTAATTTATTTTTCCTTGTGTTTTGCAATGATACCCTTATTATCAAATATAGACTGGCCTTGTCAACATCAGTATGTGTGATGCACAGTGTTATTTGTTGTTTGTTATATCTAGCATCAGGGATTATTTAGACAACTCTTTTTAAGGTTATTTTTCTATATGGAGATTCATTTTAAAAATAGCACAAAATAGCAATTTTTTTCGTTATATTAGTTTATTTGCCATATTGTTCGAATTTGATTAGGACCTGAGATTAGTGTCTAAATAGGAACAGGAAGCTAGCAAGCTTGAGCACTGGAGGTCAATTTAATTACACTGTGCATGACAGAAACTAGGCCATGTGGGTATTGCCTTTGCCACCAGCAATTGACACCTGCGTGTTAATGAGCTGGTAATTAAGAATTGGCACATACAGACACAGTTTACTGTTTGGGACTAGGATAACAATATGCTGCTCAACTTCTCTGCTAAGTACTTTGTTAGCTTTCAGAATCACACAATTATTTTTCTGAGGTTCCTTAAATGCTAATTCCCCCTCAACAGATTAAAAAATAAAAGAATTTCAAAAATCATATCATTTTAAATCATTTTAAGTGTAAGAGACTTTCCCAATTCCAAAAGTTTAATTTGAAGAGAAATATGTTTTTAAAAAACATAACTGAAGAGTTTGTTTACATAATAACAATATGCTCCTTCAGTTTAAAATCATTATAGGACTTCTGTCTTGAAAGGTCATTTTCATTGTTTTTTATAAAAGGCTAACAATGACTTTGCATGAACAGACACATGAAGGGAGACAGCCTCTGTTACTCAAACCTTTCCTTGAAGGCAGGTGGACTACAGCAAACCAGCTTTGAGAAATCACAGTGGGAGGAGGCAGGGGACAGCTCTGTGACATCAGGATAGAACAGCATCTATGGTTTCCCCTTTGAGAAGTTCCTTGTATACTGTTTGCTTGTTTCTTGTGCTGTCTGCAGAAACGCTGTGGATGCAGCTGCGTGGAGAAGCTCATTTGACGAAAGATGGAGGCAAGCAACCAACCACATGACTGAGCTCAGCAGCCAATTCTCAACTTGAGTTTTCAGATAAGAAGGCTCCCCAGCAGACAGCATGACCGAAAATCGCCTGAGAGACTTCAGCTGGGCACTAACTGAGCTGCATTAATTCCAAACAACACAAACTGTGAGATAAATATGGGAGGAGTCTTGTTTAGCAACAATAGATAGTTAAGACAATAGATAATTGAGAAACTCATTGTCTGTTGCAGTATTATAAGCATTGACTTTTCTGGTGTGATGTGTCTATTTTTCCAAACAGGATATATAATGTGCACTGTTTCTTTGGTTTGCTCAGTTTTCATTTCTGCCCTATTGTTCATCATTTCACTCACTTGCAACACACACACAAATCCCCACCATTTTCTGGATTAATATATTGGCTTAAAAATATAAAATACTCTCATCAAATGAAATATGCATTAACTTTGGTGACTTTCAGTTGTGGGAATTACTTCTAATTTTCTTCTTTGAAAGCATTTCCTTTTTCATAAAACCCTCTGTAGGACATATAGCCTTTTATATGCAGATTGGTATAATTACACTTTGAAATATCTTTGAATTCCCTGTAGCTTAAACTGAGAACATGAAAGGCCAAATGTTATATCGAAGTGAAGGATATAAAAGTGCATGTACATCAATCCAAAATGAGATATAGAAATGAACAGCTCTACACAGCACAGCCCGTTTCTGACAGATTATTGAAGAATCTTTAACTACAAACAGTGCCATCCCTGGAAGAAGAATTCTGCCTGGGAATGGCCTAATCCGTTAACATTTGTTATTCTTTTCATACCAAAATGTGAATGCCTGTGAAGCAAAACAAGAGACCTAGTGTAAGAAAAGCTTTATCTCTTTTCAAGGACAATGGCACCTGACCTCCATCATAGAGCATAACATTCTCTGCATTATGTTTTTATTTTATTTTATTTGTGTGTGTATGTGTGTGTGCTTATTCTATTCTATTTATTTATTTATTATTTACTTTTTTTGAGACAGGCTGTCTTTGTATAGCTTTTGGAACCTATTCTGACACTCACTCTATAGACCAAGCTGGCCTTGAATTCACATAGACCCCCTGCCTCTGCTCCTAAGTGATGAGATTAAAGGTGTACACCACCACCACCTGGCAAATTTTGATACATTTTTTGAGAGCAGAGCGTTATAAGGAGGAAATTATCTACCCAATGTGTCATACCAGAAATGATAAACATCACATTTCACAAAGCCAATATAAAACTCACATGGAAACAGTGAAACTTTCCAGATCCCAACAACAAAGTATTCTCTTCTCCACAGAAGCATGTTCCTAGGGCCAGTAAAGGCATGTCCAGAGTACTTAAAAAGCAGATGGATGGAGAGAAGGCTTAGCAATTTATACAACTCACTGCTATTGCTGGTGACTGGGATTCAGATATCAGTGGATACATGGAGGGTTACAACGTTCTGTAATTCAAAGTCCAAGGGACCACTTACCTGCCTCTGGCAATCCCAGTCACCAGGTACTGCACAAACATACATGCAGACAAAATATACAGACACAGACTTTAAGTAAAATATTGTTTAAAGAAGCATATCTATAGGATCTTCATTCTTTTTTACCAACAGTGTGAAAGTAAAAGTTCAGTGTCTTTGTGTAAAGTCAGAACTTGCCATCAACACTTAACTTATTAAGAACAAATTCCATGAAATTAACTTTATTTTAAGAGTATGTTCTCCTAACTTTTAACATTCTATAATTATCATGACTGCTTTAAGTTAAGTAGATTCCATAATTAGTCTTTTGAATTAGCTATACATAAGGAATGTTTTGCTTTTTTATATAAAAGGCATGTCTTCTCATAAAATTACATTGCTTATGAATAGATGAAAAAATTCATCAAAACTGGTTAACAACAACAACAAAGAGTTGTAAAATTCAAGACAAAATGTCCTAAATTCTGGTGTCTCTAGAATGCAACAACTATCCATCTACACCTGAAATCAAAGATAGAGGATACATGTTTGAATAAAACATACTTAAAAACTAGTGATAATTCATAGAGAACTGAGGATGCCATGGACTGTAATATTTGTGCATTCAATCTAGGCTAGGGAGTTTTCCCATTTTTGGCATCTTGTAAAACCTAGTACTTATTAATCTCTAAAATATGTATTGAGGGAAATGTTGATAATTCAAGTAGTATTTTAGGAAAACATAATTGTCAGTTTGCTCTGAAACTGTCATTTTTAAAACACAACAATCTGAAATTTCTTTTTTTCTGGGACAAATGACAAAATTTTGAAAATTTGAATGTTTCAGACAACACTAGTAAATTAATGCGTACAAGGAATCAGAACCACCCTTGATATCTAACTAAACAATTGGGAAGTGAATGATGTAGAATGATACAAAGATATCTGAATCACTACTTCTTGCTAAGCATGCATTCTTCCTAAAGTTTTATGGCTATTTCAGAGACTCAGATCACTTCTCACATCTAAATTTATATAGAATTTTTTATGGGGTGATATTTGGCAAAACAATCTCTAATGTGTAGGTAGAGAATCATTTTACGTTCTGTGACTGAACCGTACTATGAATTCATCTATGTTCCTTGCTGGGGAAAAAAAAGACTTCCAAAAACAAAAACAAAAAACCCTGCAAGTCCATTAATAACCAAATAAAATGTTTATGGCTATTGTCCGATGAAGATTCGTTACATCTAATTCTTCTGATAAGTGTCACAATTGATGCTATTCTGTTAAAATACTATAAAAATCCAATTCTCTACCATGCATCTTTTGTGTGACTCTGTAGTATAGCACAAATGAAGGAAAGCATGCCAGAATGATCTTTAAAACAAACTAAACAAAATTATGAGGTTATTGAGAAAGCCAGTGATTTCTCAGTTCTGAGTGGCTCATCTAGGAAAATGAATTCTTTGTCATATCACTTACATAAAAAGAATTTCATTCACACATCAACACAAAAAAGCTGAGACATGTAAACTTATTTCTCAATGATAAGGCTAGTGAATAGTGGAGCTTGGAAGTGACCTATAACCTGTGTGTACCTGTTGTCACTTTCTTAGTTTAGAGAAGAAGATAGAATGGAGAACTTCACTAAGTAATGTTCCAATGAAATGGTCCAAAATAGATTCTGAATTTTGAAGACAAACTATTTCAGAGGCATAAATCCCTACACTATGACTGTAGAGATACATGATTTATTCAGAACCTATGGTATAACCAATAAGAATAAAGGGGAAAGTTCGATGGTTAAATTAAGTTTAAGTATTTAAGATATACATAATAATTGAAAGTTCCTATGTATTGATTACTTTATTATTTTTGAAAAATATAGGAAACTAATAAAATAGTATAGAAAGATGTGTAGCTATTTTTTGTAGTTAATAGTATACTCAATGTGTAGCTTTTTTTCTGAACTAAAACAATCTTTCCTGGAAGGGAAAGGGAAGCTCATAATGACTCAGGAAGTTGATGAAACTTACATGGATCAGAAAGTGACAAGATTCACAAGATTACTTCTAAAGATTAGGAATGCATCAAGAAATTGCTGTGAAAGGAGACTCTCTTAAGGGTATACCTGGAAACTGGGTAGAAAACTACAAAGACACAGCTTCCTGTGAACCTGCTGTGGTGTGCTTTTCTGGGATGCACAACCCTGGAATAATCCATGTTCTTGTAATACCAATAAATGCATTGATCTACTAAAATATACTAGAGTGGATGAGCCTCTTTGCATAGTCTCCAGTGCCCTATATGCAGTGAGCAGATATTTATTCCTCCCCAGGAAAAGTCAATAGTAGAATACATGGGAAGAAGATGAAGGTTGGTGATCTCCTGGTTGAAACCTCATAACATATGTTACTAAAGCATCACTTTCATTAACTTAGTGTGAGCAAGTGAAGGGGAAAACACAGGAAATTTTGTTTTCTAAAGAGCATTGCCTGCTGTATCAGTTTTGAGAGATTTAAAACTCCTTCTCATGTCAACAGTTTCTTGGGAGTCTTTTAATAAAACATTTTTGTTTAATGGTATTTTAGCCTCACATTCCAAACTACTGACCATAGAAATGTTTTTGTACAAAATTAGCTTCCCTAAATGAGAGTTATGGAGGACATATTTTGGGAAATGTTGATTTACCATTCCACTTCTCAGAAATAGAAAATTGGGCTGTGAAGAATTTGGCTTAAAGTTGTGTGACAAAATAACAACTAAAGTGCAAGTAAGCAGAAAATTTGAGCACATTAGACACAGGATATGGGGTTTTTATATGGTGTGGGTTAAGGTATTTATTGTAGTCTGTTTGTTAATTGAAATTTTTAATACAATATATTTTGATCACTGTCCCTTACTTAGTTCTTCCATGATTTTCCTGCTTCCCTAACCACACAATTTAATGTTCTTCTGTCTAAGTTATGATAACTTTGTAAAATAACAAAATGAGAGCTGGCTGAGAAGTTGACTCAGTGAACAAGTTGCTTGCTGGGCAACTCTAAAGATCAGAGTTCTGATCCTCAGAATCCACATCAAAAACTAGGTTTGTATGGCAACCAATAGTAATCCTAGGGCTTGAACAGTACATACAGATGATCTTGACATAAGATGGCTAGATAGACTACCTAGATTTGGCAACTTCTGAGTTTACTAACAGACCATGACTCAACAAGTGAAGGAGAGAACAATTAAAAAGGTCACCCAAGTCAGAAGTGGTGATGCACACTTTTAATATAAGCACTCTGAGTTATAGGTAGGTGGATTTCTGTGAGTTCAAGACCATCCTGGCATACATAGTAAATTCCAGGACAACCCGGACTGTAAAGAGACCCTGTCTGTCTCTAAAAGAATGAAAGAAACAAAAACATAAACAACTTCAGGCCTTTATGTGTTTGATCACATATGCTTGTTTATCTACCCATTAAGACATGAACACACACACACACACACACACACACACCAAACGCACATACATATAAAAGCAAATAATTGTACTCTGGATTTCCAGCTTTCTTTCTTTCATTCTTTCTTTTTTTCTTTAATTCTTTCTTATTTCTACCTTTCCTTATGGTAATTTATGTCTAATATTTTAAATACCCTCATTGGATTATTTATTCATTGACACACTCACGGATTATTACATACACAATATATACTGCATTTGACATACAATAAGTAGATGGCATGACTGTTAATTTTTCCTGCACTGTGTTAAATACGCTTAGAAAAAGTATACAGGATGTAAGAAGAATCATCACAAATGGTTATCACTTCTCACTCTGTTTATCCAGAGATTTGTAAAAACTTCTTTAGTGGGTGTTTTTTGCAGTTGTTAGCAAAGAAGAGATAATCTCCTGGAAGTGTCTTCTTATAAAAATGCAAACACTCATTCAATATAAAAGGTGGACTGCCTCAGTTTTATGATAGATAGCTTGAATGATGACAGGGATTTGAATTCCAAATGTTTGCGTTAAAAATCATGTGCCTCCCACTGTTATGATTAGTTTTTAATTTCAACTTGCCTTAATCTAGAATCAACTGGAAAAAGAGTAGTATTTGAGTGATTATCTAGCCTACGTTGTCTGTGAGCAATAATATGGGATTATCTTAACTGATAATTGACTCACCCCTTGTGAGCAGCGCCAATTCCTAACAGGGATCCTAAACTGTATAAGATAGGAAAAAGCTACATGGGAGAAGCAAGCACGTAGCCTTGATCCATTTGATTATGCTCTTAACTATGATGTCATATAACTAGTTACTTGAGTGTATGCCTTTGTCTTCCCCAAAATGATGGAGTGAAACCTGGAATTGAAAGATGAAGAAACTCTTTCCTTCCCTACATTGCTTTTTGTCAGGACATTTTATCACAGACACAGACATGAAACTAGAAAACTGACTCACAAATCATAAGTGTTCCAAGCATCACTCTTAAAATCCTGCTGGAGGACTGGGTAGGTCTCTTTCTATACTGTTACTTGGTAAATGTTTACAAATATATTTTTAGTGATCATCACCATACTCTGAAATTACTTGTGGTTAGGTAGTAATACACAATAATTTCTACACAATAATTTATAAAGATTAATGATTCCCGTGATATCTAGTCTACTTCCTACTTGAAATCATTTTGTATAATGATAAAAAGGTAAGTAGGTGACTCTTGAATCTCTTTCTGAATGGGTTAACAGCTTAATTGTAAGTGACAAAAGACAATGGAAACTGACTACACTTCTAAGGATATATTTTGGGTTTTTTGGGTTTTTTGTTTTGGTTTCTCGAGACAGGGTTTCTCTGTATTATTTTGGAGGCTGTCCTGGAACTTGCTCTGTAGACCAGGCTGGCCTCAAACTAACAGAGATTCGCCTGCTTCTGTCTCCTGAGTGCAGGGATTAAAGGTATGTGCCACCAACGCCCAACACTTCTAAGGATATTAAAGTATCTTAAAATCCAAATTTAAATACACAGTTGTATTCCTGTTTGTTTTCTCAGAAAAAAGACACAGATAACCTTTATATATTAGGGCCTGCATTTAATACAACAGTTGAACACATTTATATGTATGAGTAGCATGTCTTTAGGTTACCCAATATCCATATGCTCAAGGATGTGAAATAGTCATATTGCTTTTTCTAATTTTTTTCAGCTGTCAACAATACAATTTTGACTATTTACAGAAAAATATCTTTATGTGGCAGTGAAGGAACTTGGTAACACTTTTGTGACATTATAGAAAAATGAGCAGCATATCTTAAAACTGCTTCTTATAAATTGACATTTAGTAACAAAATTACTTGTAAATTGATGACTGTCGGTAATAAATATTTTAACGCTATTTTTTTTCGTTTTTCGAGACAGGGTTTCTCTGTGGCTTTGGAGGCTGTCCTGGAACTAGCTCTTATAGACCAGGCTGGTCTCGAACCACAAAGATCCGCCTGCCTCTGCCTCCCGAGTGCTGGGATTAAAGGCGTGGGCCACCAAAGCCCGGCTTTTAACGCTATTTTGTAAAGCTCCGATGAAAACAAAATTAAAGTGTCCTCTGACTCAATGTCACAGTCTTGTCCCTAGCACTGCAACAGAAACCAGCTTCAGCCTTCCATTCCCCTTTCCTACATCTCTTATGGAATCCCCAGACCATCCTCTCTTAATATATCTTTCCAACTCTCACTCTTCCCAGCCCCCAACTCTAGCACCCACTCTCTGCCTACCTACTAGAAAACCGGGTGGATTTAGCACAGACTTTCTCTTCTCTCTTTTTCCCCCCAGATCCAATCCTCCAGTCTCATCCTCAGCTGTGCAGCACAACATCCATCCTTCCCTGCTTCCCTGCTCTCATCTTCTGTTGATTCCACAAATCTTCTAACATGCATTCCTTACTTGTTGCTTTGTCCCAGACAAAGGCGCACACCCTTAATCCCAGCACTCAGGAGGCAGAGGCAGGTGGATCTCTGTGAGTTCGAGGCCGGGCTGGACCAACAGCTTCCAAAACAATACAGAGAAACCCTGTCTCGTAAAACCAAAAAAAAAATTAAAAAATAATAAAGAAATAATATTAAAAGCTTCAAGGGAGAAAGACCAAGTAACAGATAAAGGCAGAACTATGGAATTATACCTGACTTCTCAGTGAAGACTCTAAATGCCAAAAGGGCCTGGACAGATGTGCATCAGCATCCAAGAACCACAGATGCTAGCCCAGATGCTATTCCCAGGAAAACTTTCAATCACCATAGATGGAGAAAATAAGATATTTCAAGATAAAGTCAAAGTTAAACATGGTCTATCTACAAATTCAACCCTATAGAAGTTGCTACAAGGAAAATTGCAGCTGAAGGAGACTAAGTATACTCATGAAAAGGAAAAACCCTACGGCCAACAAATAATCCCAGAGCAGAAAAATCAAAAGGAGAGAAACACACACACACACACACACACACACACACACACACACACAAAACCACCACCACCATCGTATGAAGAATCAATGAAACAAAGTGTGGGTTCTTTGAGAAAACCAACAAGATAGACAAACCCTTATCCACAATAAGTAAAAGGAAGAGAGAGAATTTAAAAAATATTTCCAAATTAACAAAATCAGAAATAAAAAGGGATAACAACAAAACTGAGGAAATTCAGACTATCATAAGGAGACACTTTAAAAACTAGGACTCCACAAAATTGGAAATATTTTCTTTATGAAAACAACTTACCAAAGGTAAATCAAGATAAAAATTTAGATAGATCTATAATTCCTAAAGAAGTAAAACAGTCATGAAAAGCCATCATCAACAACAAAAAAGTCCTAAACAAAATGGTTTTAGCACAGAATTCCACCAGACTACCAAAGAAGAATTAGCACCAGTACTTGCAGAAAGAAAATTCCAGAATTCTTTTAATGAAGCTGCAGTCACCCGGATATCCAAACCACACAAAGACTTGAAAAGAAAGAGAATTACAGACACATTTCCCTCATGAACATTGTTGCAAAAATTCTCAGTAAATAATGGCAAACCAAATACAAGAAAAGACCAAAAACAATCATTGACCATGACCAAGTAGGCTTCATCCCACAGAGAAACAGAGATGGCTTAACATATGAGAACATGCCAACGTAATCCACCATATAAGCAAACTGAAAGAAAAAAAAATCCCACAAAAAACATCTTATTAGATGCTGAAAAAGCCTTTGACAAAATGAATCACCCCTTTATGATAAAAGAC